GCTGGTGTCTTCCCATTTATAGAGGGGAGTGTATGAGGCGGAGCTAAAGGCAGTTCTCCACTTAAACTCCTGCAGCTGCCTGCATCAGGTTTGTGTGTGTCATGCATTTAGGGAGAGAACTCAATGTGTGATTGATTGATAGAGGGAAAGCCTCTTCCCACCATGGGCAAGAGAGAGAGATTTACTGCCTAGCCGTGCTTCAAATGCATGTTTTGGGCTTGATAGTCAGTGTCTGAATCTTTGAAAATAACTGAGCTGGTTTAGGAGGCATTGGTGCTGAGCGGTTGTGTAACTAGATAGCTCTGCTACAGAGCATAAAGTCAGTGTGAAAACAGGGGAGACTGGAAGATGTGGTGGGTTGGAACTGGAATCCAGAGGTACTTGCTAGTTCAAATCCAGCATGTTAGTAGTAAGCTCGTTTATCACTAGATGGCTGCTTGGTCACCTGTGTGAAATGTGTCTGTGGCCTCACTCCCATTCCCAGAAAACAGGTGTCCAACTCCCCAAGAAAACACCACCACAAGTGACCCTTGTGGGTAGTTCTAGCTGAGGAAATCCAAATGTGAATAGACATGAAGACTGATTTACCCTCCTGCCCTGAAAGCTGGTGTCTGAGCTAGGATTGAAGCATACTGGCAGAACGTGCATTGGCTAACTCATTACCAAACTACATTAATCTAGAAAAGGAATATTGGTGAAATAAAAGCAGCTGAGGTTAGTCTCAGAAAAGGCAAAATGAGAAGCTTATTCACCTTCGTCAGAGGCCAGAGGGAACATTCTTTTCTTTTTAATTTTTATCTGACTTCTGAAAACCATCTTGTTTAGGCTAGGTTTCTTGAGCTTACAAAGCATGACTCATGAAGTGACTAGAAGTGAGTTCTGGGTGGTCTGATTGCAAGGTCTTTTTAACACGACACTGCTTGAAACCACAATGAAGGCTGTTGGAGGTGCTGATTTATAGTTACCACACAACCATCAGGTTCAAAAGTAGTGCAGGGGCTTCAGTTCACAGAAGATTTAACTTAAGCACAGTGAGAATCTAGAACAGGGTAAGGACTAAAAGGTCCTAGTTAAATATATTAAAGGACCCAACTTGGCAGTGAAAAACAAAAGTGGATGTCTTAGTTCATAGCCTCTTCCTAAAACCAAAATCACATTTCAAGAGTTGCTGTCAACTGAAATTGAATTCCAGATTTATTCATGGAAAAATGTGCATGAAATTAAAACACAAAAACAAAACCCCCTAAATGTAACCATTCCATTGCACCCTGGGAACCTGATCGCTACCATTGTGCTATTTCATGAGGAACTGTGATACGGGCCAGGAATTGGGTTCAAGGAAAAGCCACTAACATTGTCCAAGCTGAGTGAAGTGCAAAAATGAAACAGCAGGAACAGTGCATAGTAAATGGGATGTCAGAAATTCATTCTATTTTATAAAGCCAAGATGTTGTTAAGTATCCCAGGTAATGACATTATAAATAGATGGAACCTGACTCTGCCGGGCTATGTCTAGGAATTGATTTACACCTGATGGAGGTAAAGCTATCAAATCAGAATGGTAGCATATGCCTCAAAGGATGACAGCAGGGGCAGTGCAGTGGAGAATCAGGCCCGTGGTTTTCATCTGGCCAGGGAGGGTAGGAGTATGTCCTATGGCATTCTACACTATGGCAAGTTCATCTTTATTACTGGGCAGTGGCCTGCACAGACTTTGGGTCCTGGGTACTTCAGTGATACAGAAGTGCATGCTGGGACTTGTAGTCTCCACAGGCAGAACCTGATCCACATCAAAGGTTAGAGGTAGTACAAACTGATCTATTTTATGGAAGCTCCTTTGGGCTTCTGGTAAACTGCCATTCTGGACCCCCACGTGAAAAAATGTGGGTGCCCTGCTTAAAAGGAGACCATCAGCTACTAAAGCCCTAAATACAAGCATGACAAAAAAAAAAAACAAGTTTTATACAATGTAGCACTGCAATTGTTCTCATGACATGAAAGAGTAAATGAATAATGGAAACAGGAAGGATTTTGGCTTGGGTTTTTTGTTGTTTGGATTTAAAATATCCCCCATACTGTTTTATCCAAACCCGGAGGAATTTGCCAGTACATGTGAATTAGAAAATGAAACAAACCGCTCTTTTTTCATTGCTCAGACAGACTAAAATGCATGAAGGCTGGAGTTTTTCAAATGGGCAGAGGCATTCAGTTTCCAACTCTCATTGAATTTCAGTGGGATTTGGACTTTAACTATGAAGAAGGCAAAAAGAACTTTGAAAAAGGTAAATATCATAAATGGTGAACAGTAAATTAGACTTTTTTTTTTTGTAAGTTAAATAATCAAAGTTACTATCAGAAATGGAATGAGGGAGAACTGTTCTTTTTTTAAGAAGTGACACGATATGAAAGTGGCCTTTTAAAATACTGCATGTGCCAGATGTAGCCTGTAATGTAGCTGGTATGGCCTTAAGCAACAAAACTAGGCAAAAAGAAAAAGATCAGTACAATAGCTCAAGAACTGGCTTTAAATGATGATTACATGTTTTGATACCATCCCGACAACAACAGTTATAAAATAAACAGAAAAATAATGATGTAAAATATTAATATTTATGCTGCATGACATCAACCAATCTGGTCCCCATTAAAAATCATTTAAAGCATGATTATAGTTTGAAAAGTGACTGTGAAAATGGCACCGTGGCATTCCACGCTTGTGGCTCACTGACTTCCCAGTCAAGTTTGCTTATTTTACAAGTGAGAAGATTTTTTTTTCTAACTGCCCAAATATCATAACGCCAGGATATAAATATGTGGTACGCCCAGACCTTGATGCAGTTCTGGCCGACTCATAGCAAAAAAGATACAAAGGCAACAAAAATGATTAGGGGTACAGAACAGCTTGCACATGAAGAGAGATTAAAAAGACTTGGACTGTTCATCTTAGAGATGATTTAAGGAGGGAGACCAAGGAGGTCGATAATATGATGAGTGGTGTGTAGAAAATGAATACGGAAATTTTATATACTCCTTCCCATAAAACAAGAACCAGAGGTCATCCAATGAAATTAGTAGGCTGCAGGTTTAAAACAAACATAAGGGAGTCCTTCTTCGCACAACGCAGTCAACCTGTGGAACTCGTTACCAGGGGATGTTGTAAAGGCCAAAAGTATAACTGGATTCAAAAAAGAATTGGATAAGTTCACTGAGGATAGGTCCATCCATACCTATTAGCTGAGGTGGTCAGGGATGCAACTTCATGCTCTGGGTTGTCCCTAAATCTCTGACTGCCAGAAGCTGGGACTGGACAATAGGGGATGGATCACTTGATAAATGGGCCTGTTCTGTTCAGTCCCTCTGAAGCATCTGTCACCGGCCACAGTCGGAAGACAGGAAACTGGGCTAAATGGACCATTGGTCTGGCCCAGTATGGTCGCCCTTATGTTATTATGGCAGCCTTGTAAACTCACCCTGGGATTTGAGAACTGAGCAGTACTCTGCCTGGCTTGTGCATCCTCACTCATTATTGCTACAAAAAATAATGAATCGGGTCCCCTAAAATCATGACATTGACTTAAGCTCTAAGATTTTTTAAAAAATAATAAATTTGGTGTTCTTTTGATGTGCCTTCTAGTTTATTAATTTTTCGGGCTTTTCTCTGCAACTATGAGGGCTAGAAACGGACTTTTTTAAATGAAAGCTGAAATTCTCACCTAATCACACAAGACTTCAGAAACTGGGGATTTATGAAAACAAATACAGGGAGACTCAAAATAAAATGGCAAGAGGTAGCCACATTAGAAATGAACAATGCAATTATCAACTGTACTGCTAACAATGCAGGAGCCAGAAAACTCCCAACATTCTCCCACAGCTGGGTGGGTTGGGAGTGCTAACAGGAATAAAAGGTAGGAAAATCATATCTTTCATCAAAAAAGTAAGCAGATTTTACCCTGAATTCACAAAGGGTGCAGATCTGCTAAGGCAGAAAGGGTCTTTTATTCAGTCACTTTTCTGATCACAACTGCACCTCACAATCCAAATGTGATTACAACAATGCTCTGCAGTCTTAGCTTAGTGGCTGAGATATAGACTAGAAGAGTGGCAGTGCAAGCTTCCCAACACCATGGGGCCAAAATGCCTCAACAGTGTTTCAAAAGTGACTGGAGATCTTGGGTGCCTCCATTTTTGGGTGCCTGATCTGAGACACTTAAAAGGCATATGATGTTCTCAAAAGGGTGCTCAAGCACTTTAAGAACATAAGAACGGCCATGCTGGGTCAGACCAATGGTCCATCTAGCCCAGTATCCTGTCTTCCAACAGTGGCCAATGCCAGGTGCCCCAGAGGGAATGAACAGAACAGGTAATCATCAAGTGATCCATCCCCCGTCGCCAGCCTTCTGAAATTCAGGCTGCTTCAAGGTATATCAGGTTGTGCATTCCAAAATGGAGGCACCCAAAACTGCCAGTCGCTTTTTAAAATCTTGGGCTTCTCCACTAAGAACTGGAGAGAGACTGAATAGCTACAAGGCCTTGATACTGCAAACTGATCCCAGTGGACTTAGTCTTTTAGGATCAGGCCCCCGATTGTATTCTGTCCTTTCCATCAATCCTGTCACCCATTAATTTGCTAAATGTGTGTGTACGCACATACACACTTCACTACATCCCAACCAGCATACTTGTTTTACCAACTGGAATACAGACCAGCACACACAACTACATTTCTAAACAGATTTTCTTTAATCCTTTTTTCCACCCCCTTGATCTTGGCCTCCCTTCATGTATGAAGCACTGGAGACAACTGGAGCCCTCTAGTCAGAAAGGAGTTGATTTTTTAAAAATGAATTGGCATGGATTCGAGGCTGCAATCTTCACTCTGGAAAATCTAAATTGACTCCAGAATGCCTGAGGAGAGACTGCTCAGAACTTTATTTAAAGACAGAAAAATAACTGTTCTTCCCCCTTTTGGGGAAAAAAAAAAGACAATAAACCCCCCCTATAATGCGAATACTTTATTATCAATGAGTGACTGGTATTAGCTTTTTGTCTGGTATTAATAATATTTCAAAAAACCATACATCAAAATTAGGGCTTTCTCCTATTTTTGCTGTATAATTTTTTTAAATCCGTATTGTAAGAATTATATAAGCCAAAGTGCATTTTCCTTTTTTTGTCCATATACACATTGCACCATACATAAATAATTACATTGTAAAAATGACTCCATAATTACAAGTATAATATATATTTTCATATAATATATAAAACTTTATATTAAATCTAGGTAGATGATATTTGGAATAGTCTGTGTTTCTCGCTCTCTCTCGCTCTTTTTTTTTTTTCCTTTCTTTCGGCAGAGGCTGATTGTTATCTATTGTTGCTGAGTAATATCTCCAACCAACAAGGACATGACGTGATGAACTGTCTCGAATAACATGGCCCCCATCCTTTAGCAAAGCTTATCCGAACGCTGTTTGGGTCGTAGGGCCCATCTGCATAATCCAGATCCGTGGCGTGTTGTAAGAGGCAAGACTTCTCGTAATCAAATACCTTTATCGAATAGCCAGGCATCACTTTGCGTACTATTAAAGTCCTACAATTGGGAATGTCCAGTGTTGGGGAGTTGACAAAGATAGGATGCTCACTGCGATTGTAGGCCCACACACCATCCGGTTCTTTGCTAAGTAAAATCCCATAGCCGATTTTACTTCGAGTCCTTCTAACCGTCTCACTCCTATTTTCCAGGTTTAGCTGTCCGAGGCAGAAGCCATTTCCTTGAGGTAGGTCATAAAATATACTGACAGACTGTTCATACACCGTGTAGAGGCGTCCCACACGAGTCCGATGTTCCCAGTAGGCAACATTACACCAGTGGCTCTGCTTAATGGCATCAGGCGACATACTGGCATCTGTGGGGGGGGAAAAAGCAAAGACACATTCAAGGTTGCGGATATAGCATTGACCTATTTCAAGCCACACACGAATAAATAACCCATTTAATAATTACTATCGCTTGAAAATGACACCAGGAAAGAAACCCCTAGCTAAGTCAATCCCACAGCAGACCCTCTGTGCCTAGATCAGGGCCATCCAAACGGTCTAAGCTGTGAGCCATTCCAGCAACTTGTCAGGGTCCCGCAGATCCCACATATTACACTTTAACCTTTGTATTGTGATAGCACCTAAAGGCCACAAGCAAACTTATTGTGATAGGTGCTATACAGACATATAAACAACAGGCTCTGCCCCCAAAGAATTTACAGTCCAAAAGACAAGACCTAGCAGGAGGATGATACAAACCAAGAAGGCCAGACTGGGTGGTGGGTCGGGAGAAACAAAATAAAAATGTAACAGGACGGTGCAAACTCTTAGCTGGTTAGTAGCACTGATTACAACTTAGGGGGCTGATCCTGCAACACGGAGTCAGGAGAGTCATATTAACTCAGATTCATAGATTCTAGGACTGGAAGGGACCTCGAGAGGTCATCGAGTCCAGTCCCCTGCCCTCATGGCAGGACCAAATACTGTCTAGACCATCTCTGATTTATCTAACCTACTCTTAAATAACTCCAGAGATGGAGATTCCACAACCTCCCTAGGCAATTTATTCCAGTGTTTAACCACTCTGACAGTTAGGAACTTTTTCCGGATTAGTGACATTAACAGCCCCTTAAATTTTTTGGAGGAAGAGGAAACCTAGCAGACAGTAGAGATCTTCCTCTTTAACATATAGGTAGGGGTCAAGGAAACCAAAAGTCTCAGCATGCAGTGCTCTGTCTTGGGACACCGGAGCCTGGGATCTATAGCCTCCATGGTTTGCTTTTCAATGTTAAAGGTGAGGATGGTCACAGGTCCTACAGCTCTCGTGACTCAAGTGCATGGTTTCAGACTTTAGTATCACACATATCTGCTGGCCAACTGCACTTTTCCTCAAGTACCAACAGAACCACAGCAAGTTCCTTCATGTTACACCTGATGTCAGAGGAGGGGGGAAGTATTTTATCAGAATACCAGGGAATAAACTCCCATATTAACTTAAACATTAATATTCCCCTTTGACAATCTCGGAGACTAAAGGACACAAAATATCTGTGAAATTTCTTCCAACTCACTTTTGAAAACAGAAGTTACTTCAGCCAGGCCTTCACTTTCATAGTCAACTGAACATATAAACTAATGTACCTTGGTTTTCAAAGGCAAACTCATATTGACATGTAATGCATGGATATACCCATGAAATGTTATTACCTGTCAAGGTAAAGGATTTGAATGCAAGTATATTCTGGAAGATTTCTCCTAGCTAACAATCTTTGACAAAGGCTCTGGTATCACTAGTGAGAACAAGAAATGTGAGGCACCCTTTCATGCCAAGGGTATAATATTTTCCATAAAACTATACAAATATTTGTATATAACATTGAATTACTCATCTTCCTGACCAACAGGAAGGCCTCTTCCTTCTCTGAGCCATGTTGAATGAAGAATGGAGGTATTGGGACAGCTGGAGGCGCCTTTAAAGTTCATGCTTATCACTATTTACAGTGCCTCTAGAAACTGTACAGGAATTCACATCTCTAAAAGGGGCCCTAAAAGGTGAAACAGGCTCTTTCCAAACACGTAATCCTGATGCTTACAGGCTATTTTCCAAAAATCCACTCGGTGATTTCAAGGGTGACCGTATAATAAACAGAGATTCTTCATCCATATTCTCCATTCTATTTGAGTCAGCTACATTTCAATTAGCGTTAGCTTAGATCTTCCAGCTACTACTGATATACAGCGTACGTGCTCCACGTCAGAGTTCTCTCGGCATTCCAAATACTAATGAAGTGCACAGATTAACCCCATCAGAGGAGTGAGCTATGCATACTTTCCTTCACCGATACAAAGCTCTTTTTTGAGGGAGGTTAACTCTGGAGTAAGATTTTTCTGCTTCAGATTTGTTTAGTCCTAAATGGTTTACTTTGTTGGCAAAACTATGTTTAGCTACAAGTGCCATGCTTAAATAAATAAGCAAACAAAAAATTAAAGAAAACAATTACTTCATTTGTTACTGCATGTGGGGACTGGTCTTTTCATAACCAATCTAAGTTGGCCACTTCTGTATAAAATACGCCTAACATTCTTGTTCTGGGCAAGGGTCCCAGAGCTATAAACCCGGCAAGGAGCTGTGCTTTGAGCCGGCCTTGTTCTATACCCTGCATTAAGCTCCCTGACAATATATCACAAGACCGTGGCCTGTTGACCTCTCTGCCTTCATGCCATCAAGTCTGATTAACTCACACACAGGGTGATGCCATTATTTTGCTTCAGAGACTCTATTAAGGCACTGGATTTAAAGCACAGGCCTACAGCCCCATTTCTTTTCATTCTCAAATTACACTGGAGTGGAATGGGCTTTCCTTCCCATTAACAGTCTTTGAATTAAGCTGCTTTGTTAGAGTTTAACTTGAGTTGTAACTATACAACTTTAATGGGGGGGAAGCGGGAAGGAGGAGAAAAATGGTAGGTAATTGGGCTTTTCCACCTCTAAACATAGAGCAGCCTGGCAAAAATCTGGCTGCAAGCACTGACTGCTGCAAGACAAGGACGGGGAATGCCCCTTTATGTGGACGCTCGTGAGCCGTCACACGCACCAACCTCAACGGAAGTATGAGAACGGCTCTCCCCATCCCCCATACATCTGTATATAGAATCTCCCAGACCCAACACACTCACGCATCCATGTGAATGCCTGCCAGGCAGAAGCTCCAGCCCTGTTTCTACAGAGTCCCCACCCGGAGGTTTGAAGGCATTTTCATTGTGGGGAACGAGACCTGCTAGATGATTCCCTGTTGCTTAAGGTGGCTTATACAAAGGAGCGAGCCAGTGCTCAGCAACTACCAAAAATTCAGGGCAACATCCTGGCCCCATTGAAGTAAAGGGCAAAACTCCTGTTGACGTCAATGTGGCATGGAGTTCACCCTCAGAGTCCTCCAGCTTTTGAAACCTGTTTTCCAGCTTCCTCCATAAAAGGCTAGGCAGGGCTAAAAGCATCGTTTGGCTCCATGACTGCTCTGGTTGTAAACAGGATTTCTTAGAAGCTGCACCCTCAGTAGCTCTAACACTTACACACAAAAATTAGTCCGAGTGCCTTTGATAAGCAAGCTACTAAAATTTTGGATGAAAGACAAGGTAGGATCCTGGGGCTGAATTTACTCCTATATTACACAGGCGATGTACTTCAGACGAGATTCTTCTTCCCAGGATCTTAGAAACAGAAGATGCATAAGGCCTATTAGTTAATCCAGCTCCCATGACTACTCTCAACAGTACGTTTTCTACTCCAGTTTGTACAGCCCCTAGCAACGGGGTCCCCCCCCAACCCCAGGGAGATCACTACACAGTCTAATAGATCTGTCAGGAAGTTTTCCCTAATATTCAGCCTTAATTTCTTCCTTCTTACTTTTGCCCTGTTACTCCGAGTGATATTCCTTGTACCACCCTAAATACTTTCTCTTTATCTCGTTACCACCTGCACTACCCTGTGAACCATTTCTGTGACCTGGTCTGTATCCCTAACAATTTCAGTTAGGGGTGTGATTCTCTACTCAAGTAGTTAAATTGGCACATCCCCCAGTGTGGACATAGTTATACTGGTATGAAGGTGCCTTATACCAATACAGTATATTTCCCCCCTTCCCTTGGATCCACACTAGGTGGGTTGGGCTACTTTAACTATACTGTTAAAGCCTTACAGTTTGTGTGTGCAGACAAGCCCTTTGCCAATTTATACAGATGTAGCTCTTTTAGTCTTTTCCTAACGGCCTTTGTTTTGAAGATTTATTTGATTCTATCAGTGAGACTTGGTGAATCTGCAAGGAAACAGAAGTCCCCAGCTCCACTGTGTACTACGGCCTGGCCAACAAAGGGAAAACAGAAAGGTTAACTCAAAAACCACTGTTGGTTATGTCTTACTCACAAGTTCATAGGTGAATTTTGCATAAAATATACACAGATGTTCAGACAGGTATCACTTTCACATGCTGCAAGGACAAAAGAAAGGGGCAGCACATATCTCGATCTCCTAATCCCAGCTCTGTGGCTAAAAATCCAAAACAACGAGACAAAGGAAGTTGCTGTAGAAAGCTCAAAGTTGTTGTGCATTGGCGTAAGCACTGTGTTCCTATACATACTGCAGGAGAACTCTGGCTTCCCTGGGAGTGAGGGTGGGGATGGAGTTACATTTAGGCCAAGTGGGATGGTTGAGCAGTAAACACACACTGGATTCACTGCAGCTTCCCCTTTTCTCCACCCCAACGCCCATCCAGTAACACTCAGAATCTTTAAACCGGCGATGGGGGAAAAGGGGAGGGACAGGAGGGAAATACCGCCAATGGAAAGTTAATTTTGTTGATATAGGGTATTATATATACAGAAAATAAGACATTCGTGAGTTTAGCAATAAATACACCCATTTCTCACTAACACGTCTCCATTCCTGAGCTACCTTTGATATTTAGCTTCTGCACTCAGGAGCCCAAATTCCACCAAAATCTTTCTTTGTAACAAATGGCATACCAAATCCAGCTCTGTTACACCAATGTACACCTGTCACAGTAGCTTTCCTGAAGTCAACGGAGCTGTTCTGCTGTTACTGATTGGGCCAGTCACTTCTGGGCCGATTCATAAGGGTATTTCTACAGATAGGTGCCGAAATACCTTTAAAAATCTGACCCTTTGTGCCTCCAGCCCCTTGTGAAATGGGGATGTTAATATTTACATGGGGTTCTGAGCAGGAGTTCACGAATATTTGTATGGCACTGGGTTACTATGGCGACGGACCCCTTAGAAATGCCAATAAGTAAAATAAATGAGAGCATGTGCTAGTACTGATTCAGTTTTTATTTTTTTAGATCCATAATTAGCA